GGGGTTCTATTCAAACTGGACGCGTGCCCCCCATTTCTCACTTTATACATACTTGATATATTAGAGCATAAAATATCCATCTAGAAGTTTAATACAACTCAATACAGGGTGATCAATTAAAAGGCAAAATTCAAACTCAATACAGGGTGTTCAATAAAAAAGAATAACTAAATACAGGACATGGCCTAATAATCTGTCCACTTTTTACAAATCAAACAACATGTATGTATAACCCAAACACCCTGCATATAAAACAAACAACATGTATGTAAATAAACCAAACAACCTGTATATAAACCTAACACCCTGCATATAAACCAAACAACCTGTATAATAAACTAAACAACCTGTATATAAACCAAACATCCTGCATATAAACCAAACAACCTGTATAATAAACCAAACAACCTGTATAATAAACCAAACAACCTGTATATAAACCAAACAATCTCTATATAAACCAAACATCCTGCATAGAAACCAAAGAACCTGTATAATAAAGATAAACAAAACAACCTGTATATAAACCAAACAACCTGAATAATAAACCAAACAACCTGAATAATACACCAAACAACCTGTTTATAAACCAAACAACCTGTATAATAAACAAAACAACCTGAATAATAAACCAAACAACCTGTTTATAAACCAAACAACCTGTATAATAAACAAAACAACCTGTATATAAACCAAACAACCTGTAAAATAAACTAAACAACCTGAATAATAAACCAAACAACCTGTTTATAAACCAAACAACCTGTATATAAACAAAGCAACCTGTATAATAAACCAAACATCCTGTATATAAACTAAGCAACCTGTATAATAAACCAAGCAACCTGTAAAATAAACTAAACAACCTGTATATAAACCAAGCAACCTATATATAAACCAAACAACCTGTATAATAAACCAAGCAACCTGAATAATAAACCAAGCAACCTATATAATAAACCAAACATCCTGTATATAAACCAAGCAACCTGTATATAAACCAAACATCCTGCATAAAAACAAAACAATCTTTATATAAACCAAGCAACCTGTATAAAAACCATACAACCTGTATATAAACCTAGCAACCTGTATAATATACCAAACAACCTGTATAATAAACCAAACAACCTGTATAATAAACCAAACAACCTGTATAATAANTCAAGCTATAGTCTGGCCAATTAAAGCTGGCATGGTATGACATGACCCCAGTTAGTCAATTCTTCTAAGATTCCATAGTGTCAGGAGGATGTATCTATCTATCTATTTATCTATAAATCTATCTATCTATCTATTTATCTATAAATCTATCTATTTATCTATCTATCTATTTATCTATAAATCTATCTCATGTCTAGCTATATTTAATCAATTACTTTTTATTTTCTTTCTTTATAAATCATGTAAAGCCTTAAATTAAGTCCATTTTCTTCCCTAAAATGAATTTTTTTTAAAAATTGCCTGGAAATTATTTTTAAAGATTAGTCCCAAGAAGATTTCTGAATACATCAAACAAAACTTGAATGCTTTAAACTTAGAATACAATACAACTCATCTCTATCTATCTAACTATCTATTTATCTACTTATCCTTTCAGCTAATATTTTGTAAATAAATAAATAACTTTATACTCGATCTTGAATCTTAGAATTTCTAAAAGCAGTGTCAATATTTTCCTTGTACTGCTTTAACCAGGCCTTTTTAAGTCGATTCATATGCATATTGAAGTGGTAAAGTGATCTATTTTATATACTTATCTCAACACTCCTCATATCAACATCTTTATCCAAATCTATTCTCTGACCACGGGAATGGTTCTCATGGTTGTCAACTTGGAATATTCTGTTTTATGCCCAACCTGTATNCATGGTCTTACTCATGCTGCGTTTATCTTTATATTAAGGATTGAATACTTTGTTGAATGGACAAATAGTTTATTTTTGGGAAAAATTGGAATCCCATGAGTAAGGATGGATCAGAATTGTTCTCTGAGTATGGATGGAGAGTATCTGTATTGAAATAGAACCTTGAGTAAGAATGGTATAGCTATATATCGAAAGATAATTAGAAGTAAGGACGCATAGCTCCTATATAAAACCCTGAGAAAGTATATTTGAAAAGAACCCTAGCTAGTAATTTAACAAGAACCTAGAGTAAGGATGGATAACTCAGCTATATACTGCATAGAATAGAACCCAAATTAGAAACGGATAGTTTAGTATTGAACTAGAACCTTGAGTAAGAATGGATAGCTCCAGTATTGAACTAGAACCTTGAGTAAGAATGAATTGATCCAGTATTGAACAAGAACCTTGAGTAAGAATGAATTGCTCCAGTATTGAACTAGTACCTTGAGTAAGAATGAATAGCTCCAGTATTAAACAAGAACCTTGAGTAAGAATAAATTGCTCCAGTATTGAACAAGAACCTGGAGTAAGAATGGATAGCTCCAGTATTGAACTAGAACCTTGAGTAAGAATGGATAGCTCCAGTATTGAACTAGAACCTTGAGTAAGAATGAATTGCTCCAGTATTGAACAAGAACCTTGAGTAAGAATGAACTGCTCCGGTATTGAACAAGAACCTTGAGTAAGAATGAATAGCTCCATTATTAAACAAAAAACTTGAGTAAGAATAAATTGCTCCAGTATTGAACAAGAACCTGGAGTAAGAATGGATAGCTCCAGTATTGAACTAGTACCTTGAGTAAGAATGGATAGCTCCAGTATTGAACTAGTACCTTGAGTAAGAATGGATAGCTGGGAAAAGAGAAGTAAGGATGGATCTATTATGATGATATGAATAAATCAAGATTGCCAAGAAATCTGAATATTTACTGCCAGAGCTCTAAACTATACAGCGAATGGTCAAAACTAATATCGGGGATGGAGGGGGGGAGGTGGGGAGAGGGGAAGGGGGAACTGTGTGTTTTTGTGTGTTTGGTATGTTTGCATATCTCGAGACCCGAATATTAATTGCTAAGATCCATTTGATAAAATAGAAACAGTCATAAAAAATCCTTAAGTCTATAAACTAGGCTACTACTATCAACAGGTACTATAATATGCAACACAAATGTAAATTAAAGTTACAGATATCAATCTGTATTTACAATAAAAATTGTTTGCAACAATATAATCAAGAGCTAATATGTAATGAAATGTGATTGATTTATAATATTTGATGATTTAAAATTTCTTACCGTTGTTTGAAGATATGTAGGATTCATTTTCTCCCAAATCCTTCTCATCCTTCTCCTCTCTCCGTCCCTCTTTACGAAGTTCTTCCTCTTCTAGGAGACGGTTCGGTTTAGACTGCTTCCTTCGAGACATTTTACAGTTTGGGAATATCATCAAAATATTCAGTTTTATTTAATGTTCATAATTCAAATGTTTATTGTTTATCAACTTATGTTAGATATGTTTCACTGTTAGAGTTTCTCCCAGATATGTGTGCCAAACACTTTCCCGTAGGTTACGAAGCAAGTAACTGAGGAGTGTAGAAGCATCGAAGAGAGAGAGAGAGAGAGAGAGAGAGACTATGAGAGAGAGTCCGGGGACCCGGCAGCACAGTTAGATATGATAGGTCGGCCCGGTACAGATATGATGGTGTCCGGTACGTGCCATTATGAGAGTCCGGTCCGCGCCAGATATGATTTTGTCGGTACAGGGCGCGGTATGATTATGACGATTTAAGGGGCGGTCCGGGCCAAACAGCTGCCGCCGCCACAACGAAGCTGTCGTATTATAAAAATATTAATTTCATATTTCTTCAAATACAAAAAGGTCATAATTATATCAAAGATAGTATAATTTTAAAAACAGAAAAAATTAAGTTTTCTAAAATAAATATAATATGTGAAAGAAGGTGAGGTGAGGGAGGGGGGGGGNTTAAGCCCCGGCCCGCGTAGAGTCTACAAACACTCTATCTCTCCTCTCAATCTCTGTCTTAAACACGTCAAACTTGTGAACAAATTAATTCGTATTCTTTTCATTAATATTTAATTGATTTAATCGTCTTGGGAAAATAATCAAATAGTAAATTATATTCGAATAACGCGTGTTTAAAACTGTGACTTTATTATTTTTTTCCAATGTTGAAATTTATGTAATTTCTTCATATATCACAATTATTGTTTATATATTGTTTCTTATTTTCTATCAAATATTTAAGTTTGTTTGTCTATTTTTTAGGTATTCAAAAATATTGTATTTTTTTTAAATCATAAAAAAATGTTCATCCATACTCACTTTAATTTTTAAAGAATTTACTTTTTTCAAAGTTTTTTGCTAATACATAAAAAATTAACCCAAAGCTGTATGCGGATAATTTCAACTGACCTCAATTTCGAATGCCCGATGTATGTAATGAGAAATATTGAGGAAAATTTCTTTCTTAATTTCTTCTATGTATATGTTCATGTTGCTGAAGAAAAAGTGCGCAAAAGTCACTTTAATAGAGAAGAGAGTGAAAACAATAAATTTTTTGCTAGACAGATAAGAATAAGTAAGTAAGTAAGTAAGTAAGTAAGTAAGTAAGTAAGTAAGTAAGTAAGTAAGTAAGTAAGTAAGTAAGTAAGTAAGTAAGTAAGTAAGTATTCTTGATCAAACCAAAGTTTAAATGGCTTTTATATTGATGGGTTACGTGAAATAAAGTCTACATACAGCACCTTCAAGAAAATATTATCCAACCCATCCATTATCTTAATTGCAAAGTTTAGATTAGTCTGTGTAAATCATATGTTTGCAGAAAAGAGTATTGTGAGAAATTCAATTAATTTATGTGTAGAAATCAGCAGCCGCATGCAAGGATTTTGTATAGATCACATTATTGAAAAGTATCCGTCTTCTATATAAAATATATGTCATTTAATATCGGAAATTGGAAAAATCTTGCCAAATATTGAATTCATGACATTTAGCAAAATGTTGATTCAAATAAACTAAAGAAGATTCCAAATGTAAAAAAAAAAAAAAAATTTGAAAATTACAAAAAAGTTCAAACCCAATTTTTTGGATCTGAATCGAGAAGGGCTTGTCAATTTTTTTTAGTTTTATCGCGATTGAGCTGGCGGTTGTTCTATACAGAGGATGACAGACAACTTTTTGTTTTTATTTAGATTAGTCTGGTATTAGATACACAGATAACACTGTCTGATATAATTCTAACTAAGGCGAATAAAATATCTAAATGATTTTTATGATGTTGTTTTAGAACAGGTCTTCAGGATTATAGCAGGTAAATTCTACCCACATGGTATACAGNCCCTATCCCCCATGTTTGTCTGTTTCCATTTCTTCATCAAATAACTGGTTTTAAACATGCTTATCTTCAATATACATATATATTCTTCCTTTAATTTGAAAATGGGCGTGGCTCAGTCTCAATTTTAGGGCGTGGCCATCCCCTTTCAGTACCTTTTAAAAAGATTCAATGCTCTAGTTTTGTTGACAAACTATCAGAGTTTTAATTGAATTAAACCTATTCTTCATAAATATATGTATTTAGACATGTATTCAATACATAAGATACATATTTACTATGTAAGTTTATAACTAGAGTTTAAATTTTTCTCTTCCTAGAATTTTAGGACATTTTTTTCTTTTTGAATAATGATGTTTCTTTTTACAGAAAATAACGTACTTTTCTCCGTTTTTTCGTTGCCTTAGGCCTTTGAACAGAGCTAGAGTGTACATTTGTTATGTTTTTTTGTTGTTAGCTAACTAGTTCGTTAGAAAGGAATTGAGCCTTTAACACAAATTCTTATAATTATAGATATTTCAACCTATGACTTCTGTTAGATAAAACAATCTAAGTTTTAAATATTAAAAGTTTATACCATCAAGTTGCAAAGATATAAGAATTAGAAAATTTTAGTTCGTAACAAAGACTCAGTTCCTTTCTGACATTTGGGCCGCAATTATTACAATTGTTGGAGCAAGCAATATATTGCTTTGCATCTTGACAAAATGTATATATCGCTTGTGACTGAAGAAGTATATACTGGAGGAGGGATGGGTTGGTTCAGGATCTGGTCAGGTTTAAATAAACCCATCATGATGCAAGATTTACTCAGCCTCAAGTCTCAATACGCTCCTAATTTTGTAAGGCAGGGAGAGACCGGAGAAAACGCAAGTAAACCTAAAAAAATAAAATATTTCAAGATCTTTATCTGAATATGGACATTTACGTGTTATGGTATTACCAAATGTTAGCTATATACGGTGGGACTTATGAAACTGTAGAATGTGAAGATGACATTTAAGTAATCTTTTGTGTAGGTAACTTAGATATAAAGCGAATAGTTTAAACAAACTTCTTTAGTAAATATAGTATGAGAACACATCACAATTACGGTTTTTATGCATATTTGCATTTAAGATACTAACTTGAGTCTATCTATCGCCATAGTTTCAGTAGAAGTTAATATTTCCATTTACTGATAGCGCCGATTGAATATTCATAACTCTAATTGGATAATGAGATAGATAGAAAGATAGATGTTACCGGAATATTATTTCTATTGGTTCAGAATAGACAACAAACACATGACTGAACCCTGATTGGATCAGGCGCTAATGGACCGGCATACAGGAGTGCTATCGCCTTCCTATTTCACAGTTTTATGGGAACCACTGTATACTAGATTAAACTGGTTTTAGTATCCTATACCTTAGAAGTAATTGATGAGAAAACTTGGCAAAATGCAAATTTAAAAAAATTTAAAAAGCAAATTTTGTGTTAGAGGAAAGATGTCGGTATCCGCCTGTGATGTGCTTTATCTTGCAGCTACTAGTGTTAGCAACTTATAGATAAACCATAAATCAGTCAAACTAAAGAATTCTTATAAACTTTGCGTTCTTATCTTTTCTCAAATCCGTCCCAACCTCTAGTTCCCATGTACCAAGATACAAAATCCGTCCCAACCTCTAGTTCCCATCTACCAAGATATAATATCCGTCCCAACCTCTAGCTCCCATGTACCAAGATACAATATCCGTCCCAACCTCTAGTTTCCATCTATCTAGATATAATATCCGTCCCAACCTCTAGTTTCCATCTACCCAGATACAATATCCGTCCCAACCTCTAGTTTCCATCTACCCAGATATAATATCCGTACCAACCTCTAGTTTCCATACACCCAGATATAATATCCGTCCCAACCTCTAGTTCCCATCTACCTAGATATAAAATCCGTCCCAATCTCTAGTTTCCATCTACCCAGATACAATATCCGTCCCAATCTCTAGTTCCAATCTACCAAGATATAATATCCGTCCCAACCTCTAGTTTCTATCTACCCAGATATAATATCCGTCCCAACCTCTAGTTTTTATCTACCCAGATACAATATCCGTCCCAACCTCTAGTTCCCATGTACCAAGATACAATATCCGTCCCAACCTCTAGTTTTGATCTAACAAGATACAATATCCGTCCCAACCTTTAGTTTCCATCTACCTAGATATAATATCCACCCAACTTTTAGTTTCCATCTACCAAGATATAATATCCGTTCCAACCTTTAGTTTCCATCTGCCAAGATATAATATCCGTCCCAACCTTTAGTTTCCATCTACCTAGATATAATATCAATCCCAACTTCTAGTTTCTTATTTTTGTCTACCAAGGCATAAGATTTATCACAACCTCTTGTACTAATGTACCTAGATAACGTCCCAATCTTTAGTTTTCGTGTACCCATCTAGATATAAAGTAAGTTCTAATTTCTATAGTATTAATGTACCATGGCAACAAAAACATTTTGAGTTCAAAGCTCTTGTTTCTAGATACTAATTACATCCCGATCTATAGCTCTCTTGGTACCTAGATATAATATCCGTCCTAACCCTGCTATGGTATCTAAGAAAACAAATCTATCCGAGTCGTCCTCACTTGTTCTTAAAACTTTCATTTCAGAATTTGTAGATGGCCCACAGAAATCTCTACATTTCAACAAAATTGATCGTTTTTGGAGGAAAAAAATTTGAAAAATACCAAATCCTAATTCTTTATCTTTGGTCACATAAACCCAGTGATAAATCAATCATTGGCAACTTGGGCTAAAAACCTTGTATTCTCATTCTTCTACAGTGTTTTATGACAGGACGAAGGGAGGGGGGGGGAAGGGATAGAAGGAGGGGGGGGAGGGAGAGGGAATATTTACAGTAAATGTTGACCTAAGTTGGTTACTAAGTATGAAGTATGATAAACGTTACTGTTTACGCAAATAAATTGTTACAACATAAACTTATAAATAGAAAGTCTGATATCGGTATATTTGGGTTTCTGGTCTTTGAGGTTCTGAAATCTGGTTAACTCGGAGTTCATTCTGGTTGGTTTCTAACTGTATTCTGGTATCTATGGCTATTGCTATGGCTGTATCGTATCGATGGTATATATGGCTAATGGCTATGGCTATCTGAGGAGCAGAATAAAATTTAATATTTAAATATTTGTTGATACTGAAAATTTTGTGTTTCTGGTACTTAGTATCAGATGTATTGAGCTAGATGAATATTCTCATTTCTGAGTTTCAGAAATCTGAGGATTAAAGTTTCAAAATTCTGATATTTACTTATAAAAAATACATATATGTCTGAATCTAAATTACAGACTTACATCAATCCATCTTTTCGAATTTAGAATCTAGATTCTAGATTCTAGGTTCTAGGTTCTAGGTTCTAGGTTCTAAATTCTAGATTATAGATTCTAGGTTCTAGGTTCTATGTGGTAAATTCTAGTTTCCAGATTTTTGTCTTTTGATACTAGATTCTAGAGTTTAGGATTCAATTAGTAAGAACATCGGCAATTTATCGATTTCTGTTGAATAATGATAAATATATGGATATAAATCAGGACAATGGGTTGTGGGGGGGGGAAGGGTTGAGTGTAGG